TAAGCTTCCGTACTTCCAACTCTTGCACCCTTCTAATCCATTCTCCTCAAAAGCAGTGACTCTTAAAGCAAAATGGATCAACACTGGTTAGTCTCTGATTTAAACCGTTCAATTATTGCCTAATGCACTTAAAATCCAAAATTCCTCACAGGCCCCTGCAGACCTCTCCTGCTTCATCTTAGCACCACTCTCTTCTCACAACACTACAAACATAGTGATTTGCTGCTGCTGTTCCTTAAAAATCAAGAATTTTTCTGCCTCAGGTACTTCAAAGCACTGTCATGTCTGTCTTCTCTTGGCTCTTTTCCTACATAACTTCTACTCAATCTTCAGGTCTAGTTTTTGTTGTGGTTTTAAATTTTTTTAATGTTTATTTTTGCGAAAGAGACAGAGCATGAGTGGGGGACAGGCAGAGAGAGAGGAAGACACAGAATCTGAAGCCGGCTCCAGGCTCTGAGCTGTCAGCACAGAGCCCGACGCAGGGCTTGAACCCACAAACCACGAGATCATGACCTTAGCCAAAGTCAGACGCTTAACCAACTGAGCCACCCAGGCGCCCCTCTTCAGGTCTGTTTTTAAAAAAACTTTTTGTTAAATGTTTTATTTCATTTCTGAGACCAGGGGAGGGTCAGAGAGAGAGGAAGACACAAAATCTGAAACAGGCTCCAGGCTCTGAGCTAGCTGTCAGCACAGAGCCCAACCAAGTGGGGCTTGAACCCACAAACCACAAGATCATGACCTGAGCCGAAGTTGGACGCTTAACCAACTGAGCCACCCAGGCGCCCCAGAAGAAAGGCTTCCAGGTCTGTTTTAAATGTAACTTTTTCAGAGAGAAAGCCTTCCTACCCAAATGCAGACCCTCTATTATACTTATTTACAGCATCTTCTACTTATCCTTACCACCACCAAGTTATTATTTATTTGCTTAATATCTGGTTCTCTACTAGACTATAAGCTCCATGAGGACATAACTACGCCTTTGTAGTTTGTGACTATCCTTCTCACATCTGAAACAGTGTTAAGCACATAACATAAATGAATGAATTAATGAATGAGCATGACTATATGCTTAAAATATTTGGAGGGAGTGAAACATTATTTGGATGTGGCAGTGATATGTTTCTCTGTAAGTGAAACTTAATTATAAAAGACACTAAAAATATCAAGAAATTTCCTGAGTCTCTGTCCCCATCGCCACATACTATAAAATGATATGTACTTCATCAACAATTAGCCAAGACTAAACATGTTACTGAGCAAAGAGAATTACTGTAGGGACCATACTAAATAAACAAACAGCCAAACTGATCTATAAAGTTCAGACCAAACCGAAGTTTTGAAATAATATTTATATCGATTCTATAAAATTATTGCACTTTGTCATGAGGTAAAGAGTGGGGAAAAGGAAGAAGCTATTACTTTCTTCCTTTAATAATTTTTTTCCATTTAAATAGTCATTCCAGGTTTTTTTTCTTTTCCTGTCACTCTCCCAAATTTTCAAATCAGAATTTAGTAACACATTGTCTAACTTTTACATTAATTTTATTTTCATAATATGGGAGAAATTTTATCATCAGGATCTAATTTTTTCTCACCTTCTCTTCTCTGAAGATTCTTCAAGTTATAAACTTTTAGTTATTTCTAATATGATTCTTTCACATTCTCCCACAATGTCCTAAAATTGTGATCCTCTCAAATGATAAAGTACTGCTTCTAGTTTGAAAACAAAACCTAATCTCTTACCACAAACATTTTCTGATATTCTAAGCTTCCCCATCACAGTAAAATAAAACACTAATATCCAACTTGTAACATCCTGTTTGCCTTTAATCTACTTTTTAAGTTACCAATTTTAATATACGTACAAAGAAATGACAGCATGAAGAGCATCTAGAAAATCTTTTACTTCTTTGCAGACTTCATACCATTCAATCAGACAAATATACAGTTATTGGGTCTTTCATTTGCCGCAACTCTTAACACTTCAATTCATTCTTAGTAACCTGGAATCTGCCCATGTATTTTATTGATCTTTTTCATATTCCAAACTGCTTCAGGTGAATTAATATAGGCCAGTTGTCCTTTCAAGATCTACAACCAACTTTCAACATTTTCACTGGATGCCTTTCCCAAATAGCTATGTTTTAGTTTCATTATCAGGTGTCTCACCACATACTGCTGAAGAAGCTGAAGAAGCAATCACAATGTCTTTCATCTCATTTTGTAACTATCAGTCTGTAACTTCCTAAATTGAAATAATTCTCCTTTATCTTTCACTTTTTTACCATTCTAAGAAATTAACATTTTTACAGATGCTCTCTTAAAAGTAGATTCTTTGTTTCAAGAAATAAAATATTTTCTTGTAATGAATAGCAGGTATTTCATTTCTAATGATGTGTTTTGAATAAGCACATGAAAGTTTGCCAACATAGTTCTCCACAAAAATTATATTCACTTTAAAATCCAATAATTTCAAATGGATTTAGTTTCATTTATAATTTTTCTTTTGCCAGTGCTTTTCCACTTAGAAACTCTGTGTGCTTTAAATGATTCTCTTTCACCCCCAAATTCCTGTTAGCGATAATAATGTCCAATGCCAACTACCAAAACTATGCATGTCATAAATCTTTACTTTTTCTTGATTGTCCCTGGTCTTGCATACTCTGCAGGTACAGGTTCATAAAAAAGCCTCTGTTGTGAGCCTTTACATTATGACAGACACAGCAACTAATTATTGATGATGATGATGTTGAGCAAGTACAAAATTTTGTTTTCCACACTGTTGTTATTTCAACACCATTATGTGACTTGTCTGGTGAATTCTCAGAAATTTTTGTACTTTGGGGTGCTTGGGTGGCTCAGTTGATTAAGCGTCCAACTTCGGCTCAGGTCATGATTTCACAGTTCAGGAGTTAAAGCCACACACTGGGCTCTGTTCTGACAGCTCGGAGCCTGAAGCCTGCTTCAGATTCTGTGTCTGGCTGGCTGGCTGGCTCTCTCTCTCTCTCTCTTTCTCTCTCTCTGCCCCTCCCTCACTCGCGCATGTGCTCTCTCTCTCTCAAAAATAAAAAACATTTAAAAAATTTTTTAAAGAAATTTTTGTGCTGATTTTTATGTAACTTCCAAAAGGTTTCCACAAAACAAACTACAAGTGACCATACCCATAACACTGAAGAGCTGAAGAATAAGAAATACTACACACCAAGCAATAAAAAGCTAGAAAAGCATCAAAATAAAACAAAAAGTCTATACAGGTAAGTTAGCACGACATAGTTCAATGGCTGAGTTACACCAAAACCTCGCTGCTTTTTTTGCACACTGGTTTTTAAAAATTCCTAACGGTTACAAAACAACTGAATCACGATTTGACCTTACAGTTTAAAATGGCTGATGTCATCCCTGACAGTCCTATTCCACTCTTGAGCCACAACTTTCTCCCCATGGAATTTGGGGAATAAAAACAAGGATTCTCTTAGAAGCCTCTTCTTCCAATATCCCAACATTTATCTTAAAATAAGGCAAGCCTTAAGAGTTTATTAAACTCTTAAGATTGCTATGTATAAGTTGTTGCTGAGTTTTAGACAGAGGTTTTTGGAATACTGCCTTTTAAAGGTACAAAAGGACTCTCATTTATCTGACATTCTCCAGAATGAAGAATCCCCTAAATAAAGCCAAATCTCCATAAAAATGAATCTTGTTAAGTATGAAACTGTGAAAGGTCTGAGATTTTACCCTACTTGGAACCAAAAAAGTTAAGCTGCCATAGTATCTCAGCCCACTAAAGATAGCTTAAACTCAAATATATTAAAGCTTGCCATCATGTGGCCTCAAGTTAATTCTCTGTTCTTTTCTCCCTCCCGAAACCATTTTTAGAGTATTGTGTGTTTACTGGTTTATTTTCTCTCTCTTCCACTAAGTCTAAGCTCCAAGCAAGGAGAAACCATATCTATTTCATTTATACTTGTATATCCAACACCTTTTTTAAAACCATAACACAGAAATCAATAAATATCTGTTAAACGATATTTAAAAGTGTTTATATGAAATTTGTTTCTACCTAAAAGCTTACACACGTGCTATTCCTCACTGGTGGCCCACTCTCACCAATTCACACCTTGAAACCTGTATGAATTCTCACCTGTCACATGACCCAAAAGGGCCCGCATCTCATAAATCTTTCCCCAGTGCAATTTCTTACCAGGTTTAACTTAATTCTCACAACGCTGTATTATTTTCTGCAATTAAAAAAATAAAGAAACTAAAGCTTAAAGAGGTTAAGAGATGTGTGCAAAGTCATAATGCCAGTGAGTCTAGGTTTCAAGTTATGTGTCACTCCAAAGCCCCTATTCCTAATTCTCTCTCACACTGCATCCTTAGCTAAAGGATTCGCATACAATGATACTAATTGAAATCAAAGCCCAGTGCTGCCACATATAAACAGTGTAATATTGAGGAACCTCAGATGCTACATAGGTAAAATAGGGGCATAGTACTTACCTACAAAATATATACAGATTAAATTAGATTATTTTATATGAAAAGCACTTAGCACAGTACCTAGCACTTAACACAGGAAACACTCAAGAAACATTAACTATTACTATCATTATATGCCTCTAAAACAGAAGTCAGTAATTTTTTTCTGTAAAGGCCACATGATAAAAAGTTTCAGCTTTGTGAGCCACAGTCTCTCTGCTTCAACAAAGAGGCAACAAGCTGGATTCAGCCAATGGATCAAAATTTGCCAACCTCTGGTTTAGAGCAGGGTCCTTCCACCTGCACTACTGATATTTGGGGCTGGACGAGTTTCTGCTGTGGAGGGCTGTGCTGTGCGTTGTAGGAGGTCCAGCAGCATGCGTGGTCCCCACCCAGCAGATGCCGGTAGCATCACCCAAGCGGACTCAACCAAAAAATGATCTCCTGAAGAGCAAAACTGCTCCAGGCTGAGAAACACTGCTCACGGAAAATTAATCATTTAACACACTAAAACGTATACTCACTTAGCTAAAATTCCCACACTTAGCAATAACTTTATAACTTCTGTGATACACACGGCTGTGGTTGAAAAGTAGAGTTCTCTGTCTGATGTCCTTGTGTATCTTAAAGCTATGGTATAAGCTGCAGCCACCAGGGTCATCACTGCCAAGCAGTATAACTTGAATAATAAACTGACATTTTCTGGAAAATATGTGCAACAAAGATATTATTTAGTAGACAATATTACATTTAAAGTTCATCAATGTTGTAACTCAAAATGCTTTGCAATTTCAAGCACAAAATACGTTTTAAAACCCATGACATTTGAACATTTAATTCAAAACAGTACATTTCAATGACATGAACACAAACAAACGTACATACGCAAAATACAGCTGACTTTAAATATCAACCAGTTAGGCAAGGATTTTGTTCCTTCAAGATTATGCGGCACACTGACACTAGTTTGGGATATTCTAAATTAAATATTTAATATATCTACATAATGTTAGTGTTATACATCTTTAGCGGGCATAAGACTTATGCCAAAGGCACAACAAATATTTATTGGCAATAAGCCTAAATCTGTAAATTGTTGGAACTATTTCAGATGAATTGAGTTCTGTAATTGTGAAGTTTTGCTCATCTTTAATCTTGCTGTCCCTATTCTATGTTATCAAAACAACTTTATTTTTTCCCCTTATTTCCTGTGTTACTACAAAAAGATTTAAGGTTGAACTTATATGAAATGGGAGAATGTACAGGTGAATGATAAACACTTACAGACAATGCCCCTGGGCAGGGCTTGATTTCCCCAACCAGGAAAATAACTTAGCACCCATGCAGAAAGATATGCTTTAAGTATTTGTTTAACATTTATTCAGAGGTGAAGCCAAATGCTCTACGGGAGAAGGGTGAATAAGGAATCTGGGAGTCACCCAACCTGTCCTAGCTACTGCTCTGAGGTCCAGAAATTCAGCTCTGGTCCTAACTCACACATCCCACTCAGCAAAACAAAGTGCTTCGGGGTTAATCAGAGTCACTCTCATGAAACAGCAATTAGTCATCAAACATTATTACTGTAACGGGCCATCCCTGAGGGAAAAGCGGTGGATCTCAACCTCCACCCCAAACATCAAGTGTTCCTTCTAACCACACGACATTTTCCAGGGAAGGAACTCTTAACGACTGCTTTCTCCATCTCGTTACGGTTTCAGCGCTGTTCTAACGCCCCAGTGATGTTTCCAGTGTCTGTCACACGGACCAGCCGCTGCTTGGGCTCCGCGCGGGACGAAGAGACCGCAGCCGCGACGACCCCGGCCGCAACGGAGCACAGTCCTGCCTCCGGCAGGGTGATGTGGCTCCAGCCCCCGGACCTCTCCGGGTGCGGCGCAGCCCGGGCCTGCCCGAATTCGGTTCCCACCCACTGCAAGCTCGTCGAGGCAAGCGCGCTCTCCGGCCGCCGAACGGCCCCGCGCGGAGTCAGCCTCTGGGAAGGCAGCCGCAGGAGAAGGTTGGCTGCCCGGCGCTGCCCTGACAGGCGGCGGCGCGGGCTCACGCCAGGGAGCGGCTCCAAACAAACTCCGGATGCCCGACGCCTCAGCCTTGCCCCGGAGCCCCGCGAGCGCGGACAGCCGCTGACACTCCCGCGCCACCGCCCCCCACAGGTTCCCCCGTTCGGGCGGCCCCCGGCCTCACCTCTTGGGGCAGCCATGGTTCCCCGACAGCCCCGCGCGGAACTGACGCACGCCCCCTCCACGCGCCCTCCTCGGGACACCGGAGACGGCCTCCTGTGGTCATAGAGACGAAAACCGCTCGGCTAGAGCGCCTCGTCAGCCGACCGTCCGCCAACTTCCTGCGCAGCCTGGTATCCAGATTAAGCTCCGCAATCCGAGCTACTCCCGAAAATGGAAAGACCCGGATGGAGAAGAGGCCTTTTACGGCCGAGTCCTTGCTGACAAGTGCGTAAAACTCGACTCGAAGGCGTCGTTCTGTAAACTACACCTCCCGGCCGGCTAAGGAAGCGGAGTCAAGGGAGCAGAGCGTTGCGTTCTGGGAATTGTAGTCCTCACCAAGGTGATGTGATGAGACCTTGGAGTAACTTAGTGATTCGTGCCTGTCAAAAGCTGTTGTAGAAACCCCCAAAACCCGTAAAGCAACAGAAACTACTTTCGGTAACTTTTTTAACTTCCACCTCGCTCATTACCTTGCTTTGTTATCTCTTCATAGGATTTATGTATTTTTCAGAAGTCTTGTGCCGGTGTCCTTATTGCCAGCGTTGTCGTTGATTATATTTAATTGGCCGGACATTCTAATTACATGATCTTCTCACAACAAAAGGGCTTCAAAACTCCCAGACGTGTCAACAGGCATTTATTTCAACCGCTGTAATCTTCACTTTTATTAGAGGATATTAATTAGCATAAGGAATGTTAGAAATAATTAACTGGCAAAATGAAAGGCTTTCCAGATAACGTGGATTGGTTAAAAGTGCTAGGAAGGCACCTGAGCCCTTACAGGAAGAGTGGTACAAGAATCAGATGCCCAGCCGCCTACGGCTCCCGGAGCACCATCTTTCCCTAAAATGACTTTTTAGAGGTTTGAGTGATTAATGTTCTACACCATTGTCTTACCATTCAATAGACATTTATATAGATATATATATAGCCTATTAACAGTATTGGGGAAATTTGCATGCCGTATTAGCATCACATTACTATTAGAAGGAGCTTTGTAGAGTCAGATATTTGATTAATCTCATTTTGCAACACTGTTGCAACACTCCCCTCTGCCACGTTGTATGTGTGCTCACTGGTGCTAATCACCTCTTCCTGTAATTGGTACAGTTCCCTGTCATGTAAGTTTAAGTACTTAAAAAACTCACAATGTGTACTTAAAATTAATTTTAAAAATGAAAAATATTCTAGCTTACATTTCTAATTTTTTTTTTTACAACTGCTTTGTACAGTTTATCTCTTCCCATTTTGGGTATCATCATAGTCTCAATGTAATTCAATTAACTATAATTATCCTCCTTTTGATGCTCAAATTATCCCAGTATGACCCTTGTAAGCCTACTTCTTTCTTTACATCTGCATAAGATTTTATTTCTGGCAACAAGAGGTTCCGGCCAATCTTGATTTTTCCTTGTCGGAGGTCACGGAATCAACTACACTTCAAGGAACTACGGTTCCTTCTGATAGAGAATATATCTCACATACACACACAGACACACACACACACACACTGATTATAATTAGGGTGGTGGGTAAATATGCTGTTGGACTATTTTTGCAGCATTTCTAGTTCACATATCATGCTGCTGAGCCATACTTTTCCTTAATAGATTTTGGTTGCCCAAAATACTTCCTACTCCATTGGCATGAACCTTGACTAGACTTTCATGCCTCTTGTCCTCATCTGTCCAGCTTACGGCTATGAGAGACAAACCTATACTCAGATAGAGTCAGGATTATTGGCCCATTCCAGTGAGGGAAACTTCACCAGAGGAATTGTGTGGGATGTCCCTGGAAACACAGAGGGAGTTGTAAAATCTGGTAGAAGGATGGACTTACATGAAATTTAACGGAAGCAGTGTTCTGACAGATTCAAAGCATGGCTGTTTATAAAGAAGTTAACGTCAGATATGGACTGAAGAATAGTCTCAGGATCCTGTGTCTTGAAAACAACGAAGTTACTGGATGCGGATTGGTGTATTCAGGAGCCCCTTAAATGAAGGCTTTGGTCCCAGGTTGGAAAGTGGGTCCACTTCTTTGTGTCAAAGTGACTTAAATCGTCCAAGCAAAAGCAGGCTATTTCATTCTAACTGATATAACTTCAACAGCAAGGCTCCTAACAGTATATAATTTTAGAGAACAAAATTTTTCACTGAGTTAGAGAGTAGACACTCAAAACAGGGGATGGTTATTACACTTTACTGCAGCATACCCTTCAGGAGAAAAATATTATTTCCCATTAACTTTCTAGCTGGAGTTTCTACTCATTATCTCAGCCCAATAAATGGCCAGATATTTACATTCTTTACATCCGAGCTAAATCTTACTTTCTCATTCTGAATTATCCTAAATCTTAGAGTAAAACCTGTTGACTTAGTGTGCTTTTCTTTTATGTATGCTAGCTTTCTCTGTAACCCTAATTAGTGTAATAAGCAGTGATCATCAACATGTGAACCACAAAGTCATTTGCCTGATAATGTGCTAACCTTACTCTGTCTCAAACAGCTATTGCTATTGCCATTTGAAACCACAATGATATTCCTGATTGTCACTATCAAGCTGCAGTATTTGCCTTGAAATCCTGCTCACTTCTGTCACCTCAGGCATGAGAGTGACCCTAGTCTCAATACAGTATATAAAAGGAAGCCCATTACTATATCCATTGGTAGTAAAGTAAAAGTGTAGGCTGTGCAGTAAGCAATACCAAAAGGCTTAAGGAAGTTATAGTTAAATTCAAGTATGTAGCTATACAATAGGTTATTAAAAGTGGTGAAGTTTCAAGTATAGTAAACCATTAACCATAAAGAACATTTAGACAAATGCAGTATATAAACATAATTGCTTTCATGACAATTTAATCATACTAGTCTCATTCTGCTATTAAGAAGATTAGGGGCACCTAGGTGGTTCAGTCGGTTAAGCCTCTGACTCGCAATTTCAGCTCATGTGATGATCTCAGGGTTGTAAGATCAAACCTGGCGCTGGACCCCGAGGTGAAGCCTGCTTGAGATTCCCTCTATGGTCCCCATCCCAAGCACACACACTCTCTCTCTCTTTCAAAATAAATAAATAAGCATTAAAAAAGAAAGAAAGAAAATTATATCCCAATTTGCTAGGTTATTTTTTAAAAAACAATTCTTTCCTATGGTGTAAGATTACTAAAGACAAATTAAAGGAATTGTTGCATTTTATAATTGAGAACATAATAAAAATTCAAGGAGACAAAGAAAAATTTAGTGTCTGGACGTGAGTAATAATCATCAATATCTAAACATTTCTTATTTGAGGGGCGCCTGGGTGGCTTAGTCAGTTAAGCGTCCGACTTTCGCTTAGGTCTTGATCTCACGGTTCGTGGGTTCGAGCTCCGCGTCGGTCTCTGTGCTAACAGCTCAGAGCCTGGAGCCTGTTTCAAATTCTGTGTCTCCCTCTCTCTCTGACCCTCCCCCACTCACACTGTCTCTCTCTCTCCTAGAAATAAATAAAACATTTTTTAAAAAAATTAAACATTTCTTATTTGAGCTTAACTCTACCTTGCCTCTGCTTCCTTTCTTAGATACAATAATCTCATTTTTCTTTTCATGTCTAATAGTACTGATTTGTAGTCTGTACTTATTTCTACCATTTTCTGCTTGCTGCAGTCCTGTTTCTACTCAAGCCAACTCTATTAAGACAGAGCTCAGCAGATGCGTACTTCATTGACCTTTTCTCACTTATCTTCTTCTGTTTATTCATCAGACATTGACTGAAAGCCATAATGCGCCAAGCATTATTCTAGGCACTAACTAGGAGCTTGAAAATAGAAAGTGGACAAAATAAGGGCAGGAGTGCAGTAGAATGAGACACTAGAGATTCCTTCCTCTCCTGGCTAGAATTGAAGCGCTTACCACATGAATGCTTTGCATGGGTTAACTCCTTTAATCCTCTTGACAACCCAATGAATTAGAAGCTATCTTCATCCCAATTTTTATGATGAAGGAACTCCATCAGAGAAATATTAAGTAACACAGCTAGTAAGTAGTGGACCTTCATTTTACTTCCTTGACCACAGAGATTCCTTTCTATTTCTACTCCTCTGACTGCTCCTTGGTCTCATGTTGTCTCTTCCTCCCTGTGCCATCCCATTCCTTTGGGGATGGCCTCCCAAATTATCTTTGTCCAGTTCAAATTCCAGTCATTTCTGCTTTATTATTTTTGTTTTCCCTTAAACACAAATTTTCTAGTACTGACAAGTTCTCTTTTTTGATCAACCAGTTCCTCTTCCCAACTGTCGTCAGCCTCCTAGGGTAGACACCCTGAGGTCATACTGTGATTTTTTCTTCCCTTTTCTGAGATGTTATATCCTGTTCATCAAATCTCACATCTCGCCCTTCATGTCATCCATTCCCACATGCCCAAATTCTTTCAACAGCTTCCTAGCCATCTCCTCAACTGTAGCGTCTCTCTCCCACAATCAATCTTCTGCTTGAGAATCTACAATGGCTTCCTAACATCTGACTACAGAAAGGTCTCTATCTCTGCCTGGCTTTCAGCATTCTGCAAAAGCTGTACAACCTGGCTTATCCAACTTTATTTCCCACCACTTCTCAAAAAATAATCTCCTTTTTTCCCTGTTCCTCTCTCTCTTCTTTTCCAATGACTATTTGGCTACTGACCTCCTTATCAATTCCCACCTTGGCTATTAAAATAATGACTTGACCAATATGCTGCCTACAGTTTGTTCTTTCATTTATTCCTTTTTTTCTGCTTTCGTTCATCCAACAAAATGCTATACAAATGCCAGGAATATAAAAATGACTAGAACACAGTTCAAATCTCAAAAAATCTCACAGGGAGATTACAGATGACCACATATGTACCTATTTAAGTACTTCAGTAGGAGTATAAATAAAATGTAGTGAAAACCCAAAGAAAGAAGCAATTAATTCTCCTGAAGGTGATGGGGAAAACATTCACTGAAAAGGTAAAGCTGACCAGGCTGTTTGAGGACAAACATAATTTCATGAGGGGGTCTGTGGAGTACATTCCAAGTGACAGAGAAAAGCCAGAGCAGAGAGTCGTGGTATTAGACAATGACATACTTAAAGAGTTTGGGTTCAGTTTGCGAAATATGTATAATGTTTGGAGATACCATGAGAGGAGAAGAAAATGAAACTGGAAGATAAATGGATATAATTTGAAAAGTCTTATGTAATATGTGAAGGAGTTTTTCCATTATCCCCTAGGTAATAAAAACAAGTTTTGGTAAGTGT